TGAAAACAGGACTTATTTTGTAATCCAATCAGAGTAATTGCACAGGTAGCTCAGGTAAAATCAGGAGCCAAATTTAAGCACGTCTTCTCACCTCGGCGTCTTATCTAATATCAGCGAACCGAACGTCTGTCTACTTGAAATTAAAACTCTACAAAAAGTACAAAACATTTTCACCATTTAGACCCCCCCCCGATGTATCAGTACATGTCAGCAAGCAAAGACTGCAAAGATCGCGCTTGTCGTTCTACATATTTTTATTTACAGACACTAGTACTCTTTATTAGTTTTTGCTCCTCATCCTCTTACTCCCAAATATTTTTTCTGTGTTTAAAAATCTATTTCATCTCATATTTTTAAAGTCAACATGCAGATCCATGATTAAGACTATAACTGTGTTCAATTTACTTATAGTGATTAGTGGATTGTTTATAACCGATTTAGGTCCCACTAATTTCAGACGTATCTCTAAAATTAAATTTTGCATTTACATGACTTGACGGTGTCTTGAGAGTAATGTAATGAAATAGAATAATCATAGTGGATTGAAATGCCTTTGAAATCGTCCAATAGAATAATTTGATAATAACCAATCAACGTTTACATTATAGCCATCAGAGTTTGCAAATTATTATCCAATCATTTGGAAGTAGAAAGAGTATAAATACAAACACCCGTGAAGTATTTGGTTACTTGGTCGTTACTCATCGTTTGAGTAACACCTCCTGGGCTAGGTTCTTGGGCTGTGTCGGGAAACAACAGAATTATTCGTTAGACCACTCAGCTTAAGAATCTAGTTCCTTGTATGTGTCTCAGTGACTATAGTGTCTTGGTGACTTATTTTATATAGTGTCTTGGTGACTTTTAATAAAGGTGTCTCAGTGACTTTTAGGGGGTGCTTTTTAGGTAGTTGCAGACTGTGTCGGGAAACAACATAATTGTTGGTTATACCACTCAGTCTGCAACTACAGGGATAGGTTTTATATTTGATTATTTGCTTGATTGTTAGTGATTCTGTTGTTATAGTTTGTTTTATAGTTAGTTTTCTAATCATTATCCAGATAGGACCTAGGAAAAATATATATAGTGAATTCAGTCAGTTGTTCGCCATTGTTATTGAAGTTTGTTTTATTTCTATTATAAACGTGATTCTTAGGAAGGAATCCTAAGCGGACCCAATAGATAATCATTTGTTCTTTGTAAAATCGTTACAGTAATAGTGGAATAATTGATCAGTAACCACCCCAACCTCCGAACCAAAAAATTCTAATAATAGTATTTACTAGGAATTATTATATTCTTTAAAGCATAATATGAATAGAGGAATGCTTTAACACCAAAAGTTAACATAGAATAGTTCTAAATATATGCATACGAAAGTTAAGTTATACTTAAGTCACCTTTAACGGCTGCCTAAGTTTTGCTAAGATTGCCAAATCTTAGTACGCTTCTAGTTACGTCTTAAGTTTTATACTGTGCTTAAGTCGTACTTAAGCACTGTCTTAAACTTAAGTAGCCTTTATGTTACGACCCCCTGATCTTATCTCTGTTTATGAATCAATAGAGTATATATATATATTATTGTTTATCTTCACCCTTTTTGTGATACAAAATGTATAAATTTTTTTTCATCTTTTTCCTGCAACTGGGAAATGGTTTCTAGTTGTTTTCATTCCGTCTAATATGTAGGTGAACTATGCCATGTTATAATTCGCATACTCGAGGATATACAATTTCTATTTAATAATAGTAACACCTTGAGCCTGGATGGCCCTGAACGACTGCCTTTACCCTAACGAGGCACGGTAACGAGCCCGTATATCATACAGAGGGGGACTGGAACTGTGGAGTTTTCTGGCAGCATTACAAATACTACTGGCATGTCGATAGCTGTGCTCAGAGAAACTACTATGTCTGTGAAATGAAATTGGTAATTTCCTTTTTTTTATATAATAAACGTCATTATTTGATTTTCTGGGGACTTTCTGTAAAGTTGCGGTGATGTAATTTTATTTTTCGAATATTCATATATATACCTGGTATTTTGACTACTCTGAATTTGATAGTGGTTTTTGTTGTATGAGTGTATATATTTATATTTTAAATTTGTATTTCAGGGAAAAACCTTGTAGATGCCAGTAATGATATTCTAAATTTGTATATATATATATATATATATATATATATATATATATATATATATATATATATATATATATATATATATATATATATATATATATATATATATATATATATATATATATATATATATATATAGAATAAAGTGTGTGTTGCTTTCATTATTATAAACCCTTGAGCTTATACATGTGAAATTGTTAAGACAATCATTATTTAATACTTACGTGAAATTCAGGATAACTGGTACATTTATTTGTGTCCTATCAATTGCATTTCTTCCTTCATGTAAAATCTCTCTCTCCTCCTGCCAGATGTTCATTTTAAACTTTATCTGGAAATGTCACTTTAAATAATGAAACCATTAGGAAAATTATGTAATTTCAGGTCCCAGGTCGACATGATCACAAAAATATCCTTTTACTTTTTTCTCCTGACTAAATGCACATAACGTTCCCTTTATTTTATAATAACTTAACCATTTAAGGTTCATTGATACCCTGATAAGAGAGAAAACTCTTTATGACCAAAATGTCTATTATTTCTTTATTGATTTGCCAGGTGGAAGTTCCTTTTTTGTCTAATTTTGCCCCCAAGCTATGGTACAATTGTTTGCATTTCTCTTGAAAAATCATTAAGGTTCAAACAACATTTTATATGAGTGAGCAGAGGGTTAATGAACCTTAAACTTTTTTTAACCACTGTCCACAGGATATGATAATTAAAGAGAACAAATCTTCATATTACTTTTTGCATTGAATTTTGTGGTAAAACAGCTATTTCCTAAATTTTTAATGCTTTCCAAGCTTTAAAAAAGCAAGTATTATGTATTGCAGAATGATGAGAAAATGTATTTCAATACGTTTTTAGTACCCATATGAGAGAAATTACTAGTACTTGGACTTATGACTTTTGATTTAAAGTATAAAGTTTAAGACGTCGGAAACATTCACGATTTTGCCAAACAGGAAGGTAAAAACTGTTGTAGGGGATCTTTGTTGTATAAGTGTAATGATATCAAGAAACATTTTTTCTTGGTCATTTATCAGAGTTGTGTACAATCTGCATGTAACGAGAAATTAAGATAATAAAGCATACCATTTAAATTTTCGTTGAAAATATTGTAATACATATTGCCATACAACTAAAATCATCACAGTATATCGCAATACAAATCCTTCATCCAATATATAGCAATATACCACTTTCACCTGCATTTGTAGTTCATATCTCTCAGTTGGTTTAAGAGCATGCTGTACGCACGAACAATTTCTAAAACGAGGTAAGTTATTGACAGACAAGTTGATGAAACAAGAATATCAACAGTCTCGATAAGTCATCTATTCGCAAGTTCTTTGGTCGATAGAATGACCTTATAAGCAAGTACAATCTATCTTTAAGTCCAATGCTGACTGACGTTTTACATTCAAATGATGAAATATTCTACTATTTCCCGATCATGACAAGTTAACGGTCGGCAAAGGGATGCTCACATCTCCATTGCATCTGATTCGATCTCTGATCCCTGAGCTTGAATTCTAATTGTAATCTCCATATTTTTCATTACTAGTCTCTCTCAGGAGCATGTTAGATTTAAGTTAAATATCATAGAAACCAAATCGTATGATATTTTGACACAAGGAAAATCTGGCATCTATGATGATTCTTAAAAATGAATTTATTTTTAAACGTTTATTATTCAATTTGGCAAAATAACTGATTCAATGGATAAGAATGATGTTTTCTTTTTAAATAGTTTGTATTTTAAAAAGCTTTTTCGAATTTTTATAATTAAATGATCAGGTGTATTACCGTAAATATCATTTGCATGATTATCCAAGAAACGTAGACACACCTGGACTCAGAATGAAATAGAACGTACTTAAAGAACATAGTTATTTAAATAAAAAAACTTTCAATTTAAATTTGAAAAACATTAATTATCTACTCTAAGAACCAAGAAATTAATAGGAAATGTATTTAAATTTTAAAAAACCACACCAAAAATGGATGCATCATTCTAAATGTACGTTTCTTGGCATGAAATTCGCTTTCGTTTGTAACTTCCAATATATTCTGATGTCATTGCGTATGAAGGCTATTAATTTAAATAATATTCTAGCGCATTTTTAAAATACCTATCAGGTGTATTCAAAGAAAATTGATAAATCTAATTTTTGTAAAGAATTATCTAAAATAAAAATCGACAAATATTTATTATCCAGTGAAAAAAATGTTAACATTTTTTTGTGTGCATTGATTTATGACATCCAACAATGCTCATTCGTCAATATAAGAGTCTAATATTCTTATTATAAATCAATTTTTTCGTTTTTAGGCAGTATAGAATGTTTAATGACAATTTGCTAAACTAATCAAACAATCTGTTTTATATAATTTTGCTATTTTTTGACATTCTTTCTTGCAATATTGATTTTTCAAATGTGATTTCTTGACTCTCAAGAGTTAGCAAAGGGTAATTGTGAAATGCCTTCTAAATAGTAACTTATATAGTTGATGTATAGAATCTTGACTTTTGAATTTCCGATCGCGTATTTCAAATATCGAATGTTGAATGAGGTTTGGGATTTTTAAATGAATCCCTGGGTATTTTAATGCGTCAAATTACATAAATTAGTTATTAATTTCTTGTCTTTCATAGGGATATTTAATACTGAACTAGTGCAATTTTAAAAACTGTCTTGTCCTAAGACGTTCTACGTTCATATCTAATTCCTAGACCCAATTTTATTAGTCAATTTCATTGATTTTTTTTCTAAATTTATTGAATTTCTCATTTACATATTTATGGCTCTTTGTCAAAAGATTCAGATAGATAACACAACATTATTAACAATTGGATATATTTCTTGAGGAAGTTTTTATTAAGAAATTCACATTGAATTAATACTGGCATCTGCATGGTTTTCCCTGTATAAAAGAAATAATATATGAATAAATGATAAACTTTGAATGTATCATGCAAGTACAATTAGACATCACCTAATGCAACAAATAATAAAATTTTTTACCAATTTCATTTCACAGACATAGTAGTTTCTCTGAGCACAGCTATCGACATGCCAATGATATTTGTAGCTAGACCAGAAAGCTCCACAATTCCAGTCTCCTTTTTTGTGGTACACAGGTTCGTTACCGTACCAGTCAAACTTGTGGCATTGCCTCTTGGTGAATCCCCAGTTCCATCTGTGGGCGTTGGGGTAGAGGCAGTCGTTCAGGGCCATCCAGGCTCCAGGCTTTACTATAATTATTTTGTAAACATAAAATTATGTGATTCTCTTGCCATGCTCTTGATAAGAATATTCCATCGGATGCATAGAAAAAATATGTTAATTTCTTCAGAGCTTTAATTTTTTAAAAAACTTTTTAGCTAGGCAATTTGTTAAGATAGCGTAACTGGATATATTTTACATCTATATTCTTTTGAAAATAAGAAATATTGTCATATATGTATTTCAAATTGAGTACTTCTATTTTCGTTGCACACATTTATTTTTTAACACCGTTTTAGTGTACCATTGTTAACGTACCTCCGTACATAGCAAGATGATGTCTGATGTATGTGTTTTCGTGAGCCTCGTCAACATTACATAAAAATCCTCCCATAGAGGCACATTTCATCTGAAACAGTTTAAGGGAAAATAAAGCAAGAATTCTAATCAAACACGGATTCTCTTATTTTCACGCTATACCCCAGTATATCATCTGTTCAAAAGCTTAAATTACAGAAGCCTGCCACCATGACAGTCTGTCTCTGCTGAAATAATAACAGGTCCCGTGATACAAAGTCCAGCCATAAGGACAACTCCCTTTAGCGACTTTGGCGGCAACATATCCAAAACTGCTGTATTTGGGAGCATAGTCATAACTGCCTTCAACTGTAAAGGAATTAAAACAAAGCTTAAGCAATCTTAAAACTTATAAAAATTTTCAACTATCGAAAGAAAGAATTTTGATAAATGATTCACCGGCAATAACGCTGAACAGAAGACAGAGAGCAAGGAAGGCGTTCATGGTGACTTAAGAGTACTCGAGACGAAGCCAACAATCCCTCTTATATATATGTTCTTTCGAGTGCTCAGCAAATTCCAAAAGCATATTTGGAACGCCCTTTACTTGTCGTATTTTTTGGTATTTCTTACATTACTTATGTTTAAAACAATGTAGACATCTGTTTTGCATCTTAAGCCGATTATATGTTATAGGCATACGATGACTCTCTGGAAATCTAGCATGGAAACTCATGTTCATCATGAAGCAAATGGAAAGAGGCGTTTCTTCTTATTGTGTTTAACAACTGTTCATATGCATGTATGATGAGGAATTGATTTCTTTTGCATTTGGTATATATACACGATGAAAGTGTGAGTTAGGACATTGAGAAAAGTTTCAATCATGAACACACTTGTCGCTTTGCTTTTGCTGGTTTCCACATTCCTAGCTGGTATGTATTTCCACTACAAGTATTTACAAAAATTATAAAAAGAATAATATGATTTGCCACATATTTTTATTTCCTAAAGTATCTGAGGCCAGTTACGGCAATGCTCCCAAGTACAGGGCCTTTAAGTATGCTGCCGCCAAAGTTGTTTCTGGTGGATGCCCATACGGATGGCATCAGTACAATAAACGGTGTTACTGGTTCAGCAGAGACAAACTCAACTGGTACAGAGCTTCTGTAAGCATAATTTGCCTTACTTGTGGCAATTGTTTTTTTGTACGAACCCTTTATCTAGGATAAGTGTATTTAAAAAACTTTGTTTTATTTCATATCATGCATATTGTAATGGGTCTTTCTTTAACCAATGGTTTTATTTACTTTGTTACAGATGAGATGTGTCGCTATGGGAGGATACCTGGTGTCCATTGACCAGTCCCATGAAAACACATACGTAAGACATATGTGCAGCATTTATGGATGTAAGTCATAAATATACATAACACATACATATTTGAGCTAGAATACTAGTTTGTTACCCTCACATCTTTCATACAATAAAAAAACAGTGTAAAATCTTAACGAGTACAGTGAGTACTTGTTAAAACTATATATACATTTGCCATTCAGACAGAAGAGGTGCATGGCTGGCTTTGAATGACGTTCTGAGACCAAATAAACATAGATGGTGCTGGGGATTCACCGTCAAGCCATGCCACAAATTTGACTGGTACGGCCAGGAACCAGTTTATCATGAACATGGCGACTACAACTGTGGTGTTTTCTGGAGATCATACAAATTCCATTGGCATGTTGACAGCTGTGGCCAGGCTAATCATTACGTTTGCGAGAGACCACTGGTAAGTGTCAGGGAATATATTTACAATTGCACTGACAACTAAATTTAAAACATTAATGTGAACATTGAGTAACTGATTGGAAATTTTCTATTTCGCAGGGAAAACCATGCCACTGTTCTTATTAAATGTAGACTAAATAAAGAGTTGTACTACTTGAAAATTTGTTTTGTTTTGTTTAAGTCGATTTTTAAAATTCCAAGTACATCAATTATGATATAATGATAAAGCATTAATTATTATAAAAAATATATTTCTTTATATCATTTCTATACATGATGTTTGAAGTTTCATCAACATTCAGTGTTTTATTGTCTAGCATATTGGAGTAAATAAAAACTTGATAAAAAGGATTCATAATACAAGCCTAGTTAAAACCCTTATATTTGAATTTAGACCGTCCGGTCAATGTGATTTGTTTTGGAAGAAGAATTTGTATATGTGTGTGAAGAATTCTTCTTCTTCTTTTAAACGTACATTTTTTTAAAAATAAGAATACTAATATTTTGTGTCAAGTGAGGTCTGTTTATAGCGGGGTGCAATTAGAACACGTATAATGTACGAAGGTCTTACCAGAAATCAGACCATTTTCTTTTAAAAAGAAGTCGTCATAAAGAATCATATATGCAAGTGCATAATATACCGAAGTAATCCACATAGCGAAAAATCGAGTGTTTTGCAGTAGTTTGAGAAGTTCTTTAATTACATTTGCTGCTATTATAATTACGTTTTGTCATTTGTGGTATCGTCAAACCGATCTGATGTTCAAAGCTACATCCATCTTTACAACACTTTTCTAACATTTTGTTTGACTTTTTTTTATTGTTGATGAATAGCATATGTCTCATAAAAACTCTACCTTACATTTTAAGAGTGCGATATTTGTTTGTAAATTTTTAATGAACTAAATATGTCGACCGTTGACCTTGGTAAAAACCACTATCTAACTATTAGATCCGTGGGCATTTTCCCATTACATTTCTGGAATATACCTTAACAAGAAGGTTACTCTTAAAATAGTTATATAGAACAACCAAAATGGAATTGAATAAGAAAAAAATTGGGTTGTATTTTGATAGCACGTTTATTACAATTCAAAATCTATATTTTGAAAGCACGTTTATTATAATTCAAGGCCTTGGTAATTATATATTTCTAAGCAATATTAAAAATAAAAAGCTTTGTCATAATTGGACTGATTTTAATATACAGCCTAGATCCTTGTACATTTAATTCGTTTTTAAAGACGTCTTTATTAAGAATACTATTTAAAATTATAAAAGAGAAATATTTCTGTGACATTTTACTTCTGTGAACATACATATATAAGATTATTTTAAAGTAATATTAATTTAAGTCACTAAGGCCAACACGCAATTGACATTAAAATAGTAAATATCGTCAATTATCATGATTAATAAATAATTACGCCTACATAAAGATAATTCTATCACTAGTTATAACAGAATCATTATAACATGTTGAATATTTTTCTTTCCTTACAGACCATTTCTCTCTGACTGGATAAGGTGTTTTTTTTACTTCATTTAACCAGAGTCTGAAATTAAATAAATTGAATGCGCTCATAAAAGTATCCTTTAGATGGATCCCCTCCCACAGATTAGTTATTTACTAGTATCCCTACATTTATTACTTGAGGAATGACAATACGATGCTCCCTCTAAAGAGTATGTCTGTTCAGTGTGCTTTTTTTCGTGTTCCATACCCTTAGAAATTTTGATTGTTTAAATAAATCAGCGGGTTTTTGTAAAACTAATCCTGACCAAGACTAAAAACAAATATTATAATTTTAAGATTTATATATCTATCTGTTCAATATAGGCAATATAACCCTAAAAATTATTTTTTGCAAACAAAAGGGAATCATTACTTTATCTGAAACGGTATTTGTTGCGCAATTTAAAAGAAAAGCAAATTGGCAAGCCAAAACACATAGCGACTATCAATCTCTGTTTTCTTTTAATGTCATATGTCTCATAAAACCATAAATTTTATATTCGAAGAAAAAAGTTTGTGTATTCTTAAGAAAAAAAAACATAAATCTAAATATTTCGACCGATGACCTTAATAAACAACCGAATATCATTACCTGAAATTAAATTTCCTTTTGCCTTGTCAGACAAATTAACCGAAAGGACAGGTTTAAATGTTAAGAGATTCAGACTTTTTTTTAATTCTTTCAAGCATTTTAAAAATTGCTATATTCCAATACTTCGAGTAATCCTTATCACTAGATAAAAATATTGATTAAGTCTAAATACCTTTGTTCAAAATCCAGATTAATTAATCAAATACGGGTTCAACATTTGATTACTTCCCCTTACTATGTTTTATCTATCTCCTTAAATATAGACTTCTATATAATTCTAAAAAAAAGAAGAACATTTGAAACATTCAAGAATCCTAACATTATTAGACTTTAAATAATATAATATAAAAGAATAAAATGAGAAGCACGTACAGATCAATGTCGGTAAAGTACTCAGTGGGCAATAGGAAACTGATAGGTTGGATCTTGGGACAGTCTTACAAAAGAACTTATGACTTACACCAAAATTTTATTCTGTTTATAACTTCCATTAAGTTACAAATGTAATTTTGTGCTCGTGAAAGTTTATATATACGAGTAAAATTTTAGAAAAAGGTCAATAACCCTATCCACAGAAAACTTTTAACTCTTGACTTACAAACTTTGCTTGGAGAATGTCACATATATTGTACAGGTAAAACTAATGGTTTGTCACATGTAGAATCTAACCTATTTGTTCATGTCCATTGTTGCCACAGCGATTGATTTCCTGGAAATTGATAACCGCTTAGGATAAAGTACTATTCGGCGAAAACTACTAGCTACGTCAAATATTACACAAATGCTAAATAATTCATTGTTATATCTGTATATTAAGAAGCTAAATATTTCAAATGTTTTTATAATATGATATTTTATATACAGTGAAATTAATGTGTACTGAAAATTCCATCTTTTAAAACATTAATAATCGCTCATTTTCTCTTTCAGAAATATTGTAAATCCACGTAAATGAAATTGATTTTAAAAAAACCCCGCTAAGCCTATTTAGAAAAGTAAATAAAGCTGTTAATACAATGATAATATTTATGAATGAACGTTTAACGTCATTTTCATTTATAGAATAACTTAAGTTTTTGTCCTCATGTAGTGCCGATTTGCCTCTGTTGGCCAGGTAATATTGTACCTTCACCAAGTTAGACAGATCAGAGCTAGTTACTCATTATCTCCCATGCTCACTTCGACAAGGACTATATAACACAAGGGTTTTTATCGTATTGATCAGTCAAATGCAGTGTCTAATATAAAGTATTTTTTTTACATAGATTCAACATTAATTCTTTTGCATCTAACTTAATATTAAGAAATGCTGAACCACACAAAAATGGAAAAAAAAAATATAATCTAATCTATATCATGTAAAACAGTTTCCATTTGAATTGCTTGAATACGGAGTTCTATTTGCTTGTTGTTTTAATCGTATCTTTTTTAAGTCGTGAGATAATCAGATGGCTATGTTCTTTATACAACAAACTTAATTTTTCGATAACTTCATCCTATGTTTCAGTGTTAAGTAAAAACAGATTTAAGTAACAGAAGGAATCTTTTTGATTGATGAGCAAGGTGACCTAGTTAAAACTTTTAACTCTTCCCTGTCATCTACGGAATATTATCTGTAACTTTTAAGTACAAGAATATCGCAATAGTACTGCAAAACATAAATCATGTTGATTTAAAGTACAATCAAGCGGCATGACAAAACATTAATTTTGATGTGTAAAATTTGATAAACGTGATTTATAAAATAAACGTAGCAAAGTATGTCTATATATCAATATACATAAGCTGTATGATTCTTGGAAAGGTTTGTGAACACCTTTTTCTAAAGGGTGTTATTATAATTTATTTATTGTCCCAATTTATATAGAGTGCTGTACCTGAGTTAATTATCCTAATTATATAGAATGCCAATGCTTCACTAACATCTATTGTTTTTTGATGTTGCTTGTTTGTTTTTCTCAATGCAGATAATTTGTAATTTGTAATATATTTTTCATGTTTTTGTTATTTGAATTTACTTATGTCGCAAAAGAATTATTATTTAGAGATATAAGACTACAAACCGTAGAAAGATTTAATCCTTTACTTTAAAGCACTTATTGTAATTTGATTAACAATAAGAATTTGAAAAGAAAAAATTCTAAATATATACCTTTAATATTGATTTGACCAGTTGCTATCTTATGTATAGACTTTAAGACGAGAAGTGATAGCATAAAATGAAAACATCGGGACACTAGAAAGTTTGCCCCCTATATAGCTCAAAACTCCTCTTCAAAATTATCAGGGAATCTACTTAAGATTATTACATTTTCCTTTATACTTCTCTATTCATATTCAATATTGCTAATTCATTTGCACTCTATATGAAATTTATTTTTAAGATATTTTACTCTTTTAATTTGTATACGGAATCTGGGACACAATGTCAAAAAAGTACAAGAAAAAATCGTGATATTTTCCTCTTCAACAAAATTGCATATTTAATTACTTTCTTTTTTATATTATGTTTTGAAATCACGTTAGTTCTAAACAATTATACATTGAGAAATCACTGTGTGACAAACCCTCTAATTTAACGTCTATAAATACAGTATAATGTCTCCGAACAAGGAAAAGTCTCAATTCTATCAAAAAAGGTCAGGGGGTTATATAAAACATTGTCAGTGTCAAGTTAATATTGTTAATGGGATTACAGACCCGAGACTTCTTTCCGTTAGAATATAAAGTATTTTTCAATATTCCTATTAAAACCAAAAGGTCACAGTGGGTCATATTGATATGCAACATCCCCTTGTAAATACATTGTTTCCTCTTCATATTTCTTGTGGAAGGGGCTCCAGCGGGGCCTAATTTGAGGCCCCAAGAGGGTTTAGTCGCTTAAGCGGAGTTATATGAAAATATTACATACAATATTCCAAAGAGCACCGTGGTCAGTAACATAAAATTATCACCATGTATTAGATTTTATCCCATTCCTCATTATTCAAGTTTGATATGGAAATAAGATAAAACGTCTTCTAGTATTTCTTATGTCTCAGAGCCAAAGTTACTCGGATAAGTATTGTGACCCATGGGATTGCTTTAGTTTAGTTTCCTTTCACACGATTATTTGTGTTTAGTTTCTTTTAATTTGCACGACTTTTATTCTATTTTTGTCACGAACTAACACCATTTTAGTTTCACATGGAATAAGGATATAGAGTATTTCAAAAACATATCATAGATATTTTTAGCTGTTTTCATGAGTTAGTTTGTTAAAAATTGCTCTGATTTAGCTAAGATGCACTCCGAAGTTGATATAAAACGTTTGCTGGGTTTACTTACTGACACTTTTATGTAGTCTTTGGGGACCCGGACTTCCCAAAACTGATGGAAATCCTGTGGACACTAACTTGTTTTAATCAATATTCCTTTGAAGCAAACTTCTGCAGAAGAAGGAGACACTTGGTTTGACTTTCAGATCGAAATTCAGATGTACTGACAACGGTTTATCATTTACTTCCATCTATATGCCAACTTGAAAATTCCCAGAGAATTCAAAATAAAAGGTATAGAGTCTGACATGTCTGCTTCCTATTTAAATGGTTGATTTAGAAAAGGTTATCAAGACCAACTAACAACTTGATAGATGACAAACGATATATCTTTAGTTTTTTTCCATCATCAATTTTACTTAAAATATATAGTTGATTTTGTTAACACGTTCATATGGTTTTTATCACCCCAAGCTTACTTGAAATATAAAATCATGCTCTAAGGTTACTGACAGATAAGTTCAGTTTACAGTGATTTCACAAACTTCGCCATTTTTATAGGCGTTGTAATAAACTAGTTAGCAAGTACAATCTAACTCTGCATCGTATTGGGGCTGACATGTACGTTTCAAAACATTTTTAAACGTATTTTTTTGTTTTATACAAACATGACAAACTTTAACAGTAGAATATTCTGTCTATATCTGATCAATGACTGGTCAGCAGGGGATGCTTTCTTCTCCTAGGTGTTTGATCCCACTGGTGCCATTTCCAGAGATGTGTTTATGCCCTGTTCATAGATGTGTATTGTTTGTGCTTTTATCCCTGAATCCCATTGCTGGACGTAGAAACCGTCCTGCGGATAAGACTTATACGCTAAAGTTCCTCGTCACAGAAAAGAGCCTGCACTACTCAATTACAATTAACGTTGTCTTACGTTGCAGCCCCCATCCGGCAAGTGGTGTCGTCTGAAAATACTACCATAGACTTTACGAATTGCATGCTTACTTTGAACAAGATGGTCGAAATCACTGTTAAATTAACTTAACTGTGAGAAGCCTATTTCGATTTAAAATTTGATTGAAATTAGAGTATGCTTCCGAGTAGCGAATATAACTTGGGCGATATAAACACCAACTAGAAATGAAACAGAATGTTATTACTTAAATAAGGAAAGTTGACTATGGAGAAGCAATCTCACATCTCATTCTCACACAACTTAGTTATTAATTGTCCCTTACTGTTCCTTATCTTGAATAGTCAGTAGAACTCCTAAATATGAATCAGAGGTAACAGACTCTGTGGTGTCTTTTATTTCACGGATATATAAAGTGTCCACATATGAATGGGTATAACTTTTGTTTATTGATAAAACCTATTAGATTGCCTGAATGTTAAGTAGAAAATCACAGCAAGTGTTTTATTCTTCTGATGTAGAAGTATTTAAATTAATTCTGCTTCATAAAAACAAATCAGCTCAGTTAATAAAGGATTAATATTAGTGTCCATCGGGACTTCTGCAGTTTGTTGGAAGATATCGTCTGAATACTGCTTAAATTTTATCAGCGAGGAACACCACTATCTTTTTTATATCAATATCAGAGTACTGAATGTAGAATCAGTTATTTTTAACAAGTAGTTTCGATGATGAGCGGGTTATCTTAAAATGTGAAAATTTCCTTTCTGTTTTTAATTCAGAAGCATTTGTCTAAAGACCTAATGCATCTCATTGTTAATCATTTTATTAATAAGAGTCCATTTAGTGGCTCCAGAAATGTTAACAATACCAAATTTAAAAAACATGATTATTCTACTGAAATTTGTTTTTATTTCTACATTGAAGGCAACCCAAATAAATAATTTTTCTCGCCATTAGTTATTTCAGAGAAACGTTAAATCCTTAGGTAGATTTATTGCTAGTGCAAAAATAGCTCAATCATTCCTGTGAATTATTTCTTTCTGTTGTAATAAATAAAGATACAAAATACATTTGAAGACAATTGTCAATTTGCACTTGTAAAAACAATATATCAAAATTACTTCATACTTAAAATAATTAAAGTTTAATTCATACGTTGTACGGTATTTCATTATACCCCCCGCTTGAAAAGTGGGAGGGTATACTTTAATCGGTATGTCCGTCCGTCTGTACGTCCGTCCGTCTGTTACGCTTTGGGGTACCCATCTCTTATCCGCAACTCCTCTTATACCACTGAGTGAAATTTAATGAAACCTTCACAGAATCTTTATTACATATTGCCATTATGCACCTTCTATTTTATTTTTTGATCCGACACATATTTTGGGTTTCCCGGCCACAGCAAAACATGGACTTTGCCATTATAATCATATGGGAGGATCATTGCTCACAATACCTCTAGTTTTACATTCACTTTTTATTGTAGGTATGATAGTAGAATCCGCCAGTATTGCTTTGGCTCACTGCATACTACTGACATCAATGACACATAACGAACAGTATTCAAGATCAAATGTCCATAAAACAATACAAAATAGGAGCAGTTCAAAATAGGAGCATGTATAGTACTAGTAATTTTATTTTATTTTTATTTCAATATTTAAAAAGATAGTATCTGAGTTCTTTCTGCTATTGAGTTATATTAAGAAGGATTCTAGTACATTAGTGATTTACTGCAGAAGCTTTTTATCAAAATAGTATCTTTGAAACTTAGATGTTACAATGTTTGAGTTAATGTCAACCATAATGTAATGTTCAACAGATGAACAATCTTCCGGGTTTGAAAATAATTTGGTATTAATTGTGTAAACTTTAATTGAGAGACGTAAATGTCAGATATTGTGTATGCAGGCTTCCTTCATCACGCATTCATTTTACACACTTTATTCTCTTTTTTGATACCGTGGAGGAAAAAATCACTTGAGTCATTGCACAAAGGTTTTCGCTGCGTCAGTCACGTGTAAAAATTGATAATAGTGTAAACGTGAAAAATCTAAAAATGAAAATTTAAAACAAACAACCACATCATATCAAGGTGTTACATGAGTATTTGACAAGGTGCCTTGTTTGGTCTTCCTCACGTTTATAATTTTTAATTTTATTTTCATCATTTTTTAAAATCAATTTAAATTCGTGTAATGTATATAAGTCGCCGTAGGTACATGTACTTGTTTTTTAGTCTAAATTTTTGTTTTTGTTTTCGAAAAGTTTTATACATTGACCAGCAAGAAAATTATTATTCTGTGTCAATCACGTTTTCTTGTAAATTCCAGGTTCACTACAACGTTAAGGGCATTCCAGGAAACGAAAACATGTGACAATTGGCGCAAGGACATGTGTTTTATACTGAAACAACTTCTCTCAGAGGGCTTTACTGTTTGAATGCATTAAAGAAACACTATTAAATGACCCAGACTCAGCTTTAATGCAATTTGTTTACAATTTTCTCATGCAGAGAGGGGATTTTCTTTTCTGCTTGGTAGATGATTTCAATTAATTCAAATTTTTAAATTACATTTATAGTTTTATATGGCGGAATAATTATGTAAATATTTTCACTCTTCTTTTTTCTGATCAGTCATTTTCTTTATATATTATATTTGATCTATTTTTACTTCTTCTTTTTCGGTTATAGTAATCACAATTTGTCAGAAATAAGTTAATTACAGTTATAATATCATTATAAGATGTGACAAATTACAAACATTCGCAAAACATGACCTAAGATACATAAATAATGTTTATTAAGTCATTTTACTCTTAATGATTCTGTTTCCCATGGACAATACCCTTGTCTTAACTTTCTACTGATTGTAAGTAGATAAAGCTTTTGCCAAAGATTGTTGTCATCCATGTTGCAAAACGTATGCCTCTTGTTCATTGCACTGAACGTGCTAATAAAAAAAACTTGAGTTTTATAATTTTAATTTTAAGACTTTCAAACATGATTTCCTTTAAATTATGTATAATCTAAGCAACAACAAAAGAAATAAGTATAGTGAAGTAAGTGAAGTGAAGCGCTGAAATAAAAGAAATAAAATAATACTACTTTCTGAATACATTGGAGTACGATTATATAGCTTCTGAAGCAGTCATCTATAACAAAGACATTATTCCATTATCATTTCTAAAACATACATGGAAGAGTTTTTAAACATGAAAGAATTTAATAACAATACTTTTATTATTTTGATACTGCTATGAAAACAAAATATTTTGGATTGCTTTATAGATCTTTGAGTTTGAATACTGTGTCCATACGCGTATTTCATTGATATTATGACTAATTTTGCATAAACTCTCAATGGAAACACCATACCCGTTTTAAAAAAAAAATCTGCAAAAAAACACATGTACATGTACATGCATTTACAGGACTGTTCATTTCAATCTGTCACGGTTCTACATATGTACTTACTTCTGTAGTACAGACAGTTTAATAATCCATTTAAAACTTTGAAAGATGGAAATCTTAAAAAACTGGAAACCCTACTTTCTGGCGAATTAAAGAGATTGCACGACAATTTATAATCTACAAAATTACTTTATAGCAAATTAAAATGAATTCTGCTAAATTGATTTCTAATTATTGTCTTTAATGTGACTAAAAGTAATAAGTATGATAAAGAGACTTTAAATATATAACGATTGTCACATAAAACTAAAATAAATCAATAAATTATTTTCTTGTTCTTCGTAGAAAGAAATTAATGTACTTATGTACGATCATGATGATCATTTGGGTTTTTTAACGTGTATTTGTAGAGGAGAGGATAATGCTACATAATTCATATGCATGCAAATCTAGGGATCTGATTGGTGTTTTTGGCTCATTAGTGATTCTTTAAATAGAAATCAACTAAGCAAAATAACGAAAACATTTAGAATATAGATAAATATATTTACAAAAAATTGTAGAGTTAATATGTAAGGTAATAACAGATTAATGGACATGCCTTGATCTGAATGTCACTTCTGTTTATATACATGCATTTTGTACATGGAAAAACTTTACAGCACTCAACACTGTTTCTAACCTTTTATTTAGTATTTACACAACAAAAACCCATGATTATTCATGTGACAACAACGAATGAGAAATTATTATGATATTTCCTTTTGACAGTTGTTAAGAAGACTTCAAATTCACGTATTCTCACTTAAATGTACGTACACATATGTTCCCTCCTTTGCAACTCGAGAATGATCTTGGAACCATTTGCACTGGTCAACGTTTGCATTCTGTTTACCAGGTTTGTTTTCTTCGACCAAAAATCCTTTATATTTGTTTACCAAGTTAACTGATTTTACATAACTATCTTTAGATATAATTTTCCTCTTGAAAAAATCATAGCTGTTCGTTTTTATCCCTCAAATTCCAAAGCGCCGTTTCAGTGGAACTAACCAACTAACCAAGGCATTACCAAAGGAGGTTTGAAAGGAGGCACTCAGCTTCAATGGGAGATAACAAACCTTAGTAAAAATATTGATAAATAACTTTTTTCCCTAATTATTTAACTATTAAACAGAAAAATCAATTATTCTTATACATATCATGAATCTTTATCCAGGAAGTAGCAATACATTAGATATTGAAATAAATCATATGGAACATCTTTTAAAAAATATCATTTGTAGAAATCAATAGTAGCTATTAGGAGTAGATTCTTTAAAAAGAAATATATACGATTGATAGAATATTTTTCCGAAGGAAGAACAAAACATGTTTGTGGATAATAAAAGGCCGTAGCTCTAATAATTGTTACAACAGTTACTACAAATATCAGTATTGAAAGAACGGAATCAATGTTTTTATAAGGCTTTTTACCTTTACTGTTAAACGTTGGTGAAATGTGACAATGAAGGTGAATCTTTTTAATCATTTTGTTAAACAGTCCATGCGTGAAAATTTACACATGAAGTAAGAAATACGTTTATACATGCACGTAGGCATGTTTTTTGTCTTCCCTGTTGTCCGATATCTAGATTGTGTGGTCTAGCAGTAGTATTTAATACCAATAAACATATTTGCTATAAGCATTGATTTCTTTCTAATTGTATTCAGATCCACTCAATAATGTTTCTATTTTCATTTCTTAATTTATATTCATTCCTTAACATGAAATGTGTGATTGTCATTTGCATTTAATAAAATTTGGAGTTTCCGTTCGAAAAAAAAATATATATCCATTATATTTATGACGAATGACTTTTTTTTATTTTCGAATTCCCCAAATAAAATTCCACATGTTTATTCTTAAATATGGAAATACATGTAGGCATTGGTATATACATTATGTATCTTTCTTAAAATGTGTTATATGTATATTGCTTCTTTTCACTTCAACGGGAAACTTCTTGCAAATGTTGTAAGTATTGTGTTCTTAACAATTTGCTTTAAATATTATATATTTTTTTTCTGCAGTAGTATATCAAGAATATGCAGTTGTCTTTTTACTTTTTTTGGAAAAAAAAAAACTTATTCCGAGAGAACGAATTGTGAACAGAAAATAAGTCATGCAAACAAGATACTTTGAAAGCAATTTTTAATCCGGAGTAAATAGGGTCCAGGGAAATGGTTTCGTAAACTGTTTTAGCACACATTTCATTTTGTAACTAAACACATAAAACAGTAACTCAGATACATGAAAGTAAATGATTTTTATTGTGCAAAAGTACATATACCAAGCTCTTCATGGGAAACTGAGATCTTTTCTAACAATCTAAATACAAAGTTTGCAAAAATAATCAAATTGTAATTTTAATTTGTACATCAAGGATATTGAGATAACGAACAGTATTCAATATCAAAGTCCATTAAACAATAGAAAATAGGAGCAGAGCAAACACGGACCTCTAAAAATCAGAGGTGGGATCAGGTGCCATGGAGGAGTGAGCATCCCTTGCTGACCGGTCACACTTGTCATGATCGGGAAATAACGGAAAAATCCGTCGTCAATTCACTGTATAAATAATGGACTAACAAATTAGTATGAAAAACGTCTGTCAGCATTTGACACAATGATAAATTGTATTTGCTGACACGGTCATTGTATCGACCATAGAACTTACGAAATGATGACCTTAAACGAGACTGCTGATATTCTTGTTTCATCAACTTGTTTGTCAATAATTTACCTCGTTTAAGAAATTGTTTATACATCTTTCTTCTCGCTTGATAGGGACAGGTCCGTAGAAGCTATTTTCAAAGTGAGGGGGGATGGCATCCTAAAAAAAATAAATTTTAAATCCCTCACCACAAAAAGTGAACAGCCCAAACTCAAAAACCCTATTTTGTAATGGTGCAAATGGTGATGGTATTGGAGATGAGGTTTATTCTCAGTTACCGGAATTTGCCAGTGATCAACCCAACGGGAGCGGAAATCAGCATTCAAATTAAATATGAAAACTCAACAGAAGCTAAACTCAGAAAAAAGCTAAGACGCAATCCACCTACCAAAGCCTAAATCATGCGTTTTATTGGCCTGGATGTAATTGCTGAAATGACTGGAGCTTAGGGTCGTAGTTCTGGAAATGGTCTTGAATTTAAAAGAGATTCATTTACATGAAGGAAAAAAATATATTCTATATAACAGGATGTAGATAATGTCATTTTAAACCGAAATGTTGAAGTTTAATTGTCAGAATATCTTATTATTCACTCGTCGGTATGTTTTCTTGCATGTCTTTTCCAAGCCTAAATATATTTGTTTATATTCTGTACACCATTGTGTTTAAAAATAATTGCCTTATAAAGTATCCATCATTCGTCAAGACGGAGTTTATTCGAGTAAAAAAAATGTGAAAGTTGTAAAGGAGGATGTAATGAGCTCTTTTTACAAGGCCTTTGAATCACACAGGCACTTGTTTCCCAAAGTATGAAAGGACAAGGTATCAAACTCCAAATAACATTAAAAACAAAACACCCCACCATCACCACCCGAATTAAATTAACTTACACTTTTTAGGAAAAAAATTCTGGCTAAATACTCATTACCATTCTCTTTCACGATAATTCATCCACACAACCATATGCATATATGCCATGCTTGTCGTTATCTCCGTAAACAGACCGAACTCCGGCTGGAAAATTCGTCTCCACCACGAAGTGATATGTAATGGTTTTAATCTGGCGTAATATGTTCTTGGACATTGATTGATTATTAAAAATCAGTTTCTAAAATTTCATCAGAAAACGATTGTTATTTTTTTCCCTAGAAGATAAAATGTAAACAAATTTTATTTATTCATTGCAATATTGAAAAAATAGAATTAAAATTTTATTTGTAATTTTGCTCATTGTCCGCAAAAAGTACATGTTTTATTTTGAGTCAAATTTTTAAGTACAGTCTTTTCAGAAGAATTTTGACCTTGTAAACAGAGAATAAAGAGAATAAAGATAAGCATGACATAAACGGTTATGTAGATTTATCGTAGAGAGAACATGTGCCAGTGCAATTTCCCTGAAAGTGTAAATGACTTCAATTCTGGGAGATGTATATACGCCATGTTATTTTGGGGTTAGATACTATGTGTTTTCATTATATTATAGGTTGAAAATTTATTAAAGGAACAAGTGCCTGTGCTCTGAAAGCTTTATATGTTTCCTGTAAAACTGAGCAGTTAGAGTCGTATTTGGGTAAGGTGCTTAGATGTAGTAGCATAGAAAACATTGTTCAAAGTAGCGATCATATGAAAAAATGCTGGTTTCCACGCTTTTAATGTTAAAGTATGTACAACAATATATTCAGGTGATAATGCTGAGTTGTCAGCTATTTTATGGAACGTCTTTTGTTTTATCCATAAAAGAATCAAAACATTTACTTACCCAACGAACTTTCCTTCCCTCGTCATATTTAGATTCTTTGTTTTGTTGCTGCCTAAAAAAAATAGAAATGTTTTCATAGAAAGGAGGTTTTCATTCATTGTCCATGAAAAGAAAGAGGAATAGTTTCTTGCCATATTTTCAATGCTATATATCTTAAAAATTGTATATTCACGATCTATTTAGGGCCTATGCTACCTCATATCTTTTATTTTCATGTACTTTTCAATAACGTAAACATCAAATTAATTAAAGAGTCTTAGGTTTAAGAATTTGGTTGTTAATAAGTTATTTCAGAAGAAAACAAAATTTATTCTATTTTCCATCAATTACAAGAGACATCATATGCAATGAATAGATATAAAATATCGTATAATGGATAAAAAGTAATGCTAACCCTGAAAATAAAAATGATCTCTGCAGATTGGTTTTGATTTTCCTGTTTTTCTTCTATTTTAATGTTGGCTGTTTCTTTGAAATATGTCTTTTCACAGTTATGTAGTATGAGAAACTAACTTGAAATAATTCTATCAGTAAATTAGCATGAATATTATCCAAGCATATCAAAATAAATATGATAAATTCACGGAGAACTAATAATATTGTTCATTTTAAGGACAATAGATGAAATTATTTGCAAAAAGCCATATTGAAATGAAATGTATATCCAATTGTAAAACATATTTAACATAGCACTCATGATATTTCATTAAACACAGTAAAATTAAACAACAGTTGAATGTACCTAAATTTTTAAAAAAATTAATAATTTGTTATGATTATTGTGCTTGTGAATTAAACAAATAATATATAGATATATGATACATAAAATTCACTTACCTTTAATATAATATTTTTCATTTCAAATGTCAACATCTACCATCTGGTTAGATAAACATTTATGAAATAATTTCAGTATTTGATATATAACTTTTATTTACGAATTTGATAGATTTGAGTAAATTTATGCAACTGCTAATCTCAAACTATATACAAGTACTGAGTACTGCGAGTATATGTTGTTTTCTAGTCAACTGACAAGAATAAAGAAAAACATGTGTATTTTTTAAAAAAAACCTCTCAGAAGAATTTGAAATGGGAAATATTATAATTTTTTATTATCATAATTACCTTGTTTAAATGAAAATTCATTCATGATTATTTTTACTCCTGGGAAATTTTGCCCTGGTGTGCAAAAGCATTCTCTTTTGATTTGATGTATTCTGAGTAAATCCATATGTTACCTACTACTCTGTTAATTTTTATCATTTAATCCATAAGAATGTCTCCATACAAGAAAAAGACATTTTTATTTCACTTAAATTGTATATGAAGCATTTGAACTGCAGAAAGGTTCTTTGTTGAGGGTAATATTAGAATAACAAAATTCAACATCTCGTTTGATATAATGTTCTTGAAAAATTAGGCCAAAATGATTTATGCCATAACCTTATTAGAAAAACAAATTTGATTTCTATCCAAATATTTTCTTTATCCTTTTTAATAAGTCTTTTTTTCCCTTTTTTTGAAAGCCATGATCTAGAAGCATTCTGGATATTATTTTAAGTAATTATAAAAATTACAAGTACACGTTGTTTTGGAATAAATTGCTTCAAATAAAAATGCTCTTACTATAGTCTGGTTGGATAAGGATTTAATCAACCTGTCCGCCTGTCTTTCTATAATTATGATCAATTCGGGAATTGACAGTGAGATAACCTTTATCCAACAAGATTTGATTCCCAAACATTTGAAAATATCAAAGTTCAATTTCTTTTTCATATAAATGTTGTTAATATATAATTAACATATATTTACAAGGAATTTGTGAGATTTGGCCTGATTTGATACAACAATTGGTCCTTTTTTTTTATTTAAGATCTCTGACAATTCCGTATGTTTTAACTATTTTTCTTGAAATTCAAACTAAGGATTTTTATGGTAAAATTAAAAAAGATCCAAAGTTATGTCAACTCAAATCCAAACGCTTCAACCTCTTGCATTCTGCTTCTGATATTTGGTTGAATTTTAGGACTCTTGCTTATACATGTAAAATCTTCACATACTATTCTTGGCATTTATAACAAAACTATATTCATTTATATAGGAAAATATTTCAATTAGGAAATCATTTGCTTTATTGATCTGAAAATAGCACGACACAAAATGATAATTTTCAGTATTTTACAGTACAGTTTTTAAAAGTAACCTTTTGAAAAGTATAAAGGGCTAATCAAACCAAAATACATTTGGATCATTTTTGAAAAACTTTTATTGATTTTGAGAACGATCGATCATAACTTATTCATTGACTGAATTAATGTAGAATGCAGAAAAATATCAAAGTACTATTCATTCTGTAGATTTCTCATAATTCTTCTAAATAAAAGAAAAGTATTTGTACCATTTTCTTTAATTGTATTAATTCTGCTGAATTTTGTTCAGATCAAAATTTACGCACAAGTCTTTACTTAACGAGTACAGTTAAAAAGAAGTAAACACAATAATATTTGTACCAAAAGAATCCATACAATATACGATTACTTTAAAACATTTCACTCCTCTAAATGAAGATTTTTTTTTTTACTGAAACCTATTCATTTCTGTTGTTTTTTTTTTTTAATAATCTCATTTGTGTATTTTTTTTATAATTGTTTTACCACAGCCTATACGTTTATATACAAAAAATGATAATAAAAAAAAAATGTGCGACTGATTATTTCAAATGTCATCTTATTGTAATTTTTTCAAGTATTAAAGAACATCTGATTTTAAAAAATGATATAAATTCCAATTACACCATTCATTGCAACATACAAGCTGAAAAAAATATGCCATCAAATCATGGCGAAAGAACAGCATGTCAGTGTTTAACCTGGAAGATGTACCTAACAATCGACAAGCAAGGACAAAGAAACGCCCTTTATTATTAATAATTTTATTAAACTTCTAATTTTTTGACAGCTTCATAATTGTTTCTTAAAGTCTCGTATTCAAATTTTTAAGAAATCTCAAAGTCCAATCAGATTTCATGATGTTCACTTGGCATGCTATATATATTTACAGGTAACAGTTGAAAGGGACCGTGACTTTTACCTGGAAATTAGGAGCGGTGGGGAAGGTAGGCTCTAGGTTCTTACCTTAAATTTTCATCTTTTCGCTGGAGATGAGACACATGGATGCTAATCTTGAATAGAATACTTTAAGATTGAATTTTGGATTTCATTTAGTGTCTTTTTTCTTGCTTAAAATGAATGGACCCTTTCATGAGGAAATATACAGGATATAAAGATATTGTCTCAGACAAGTCTGGCTGGAATTGATCTTTTTGCCTATTTTTTTTTTAGTTTATTTTTCATCATTTTCCAAATGTTAGCCTTGTCTGCTGTTGAGGCCAAGAATAATTCAATAAAAATAATGTTTTATCCAAACAATTCTTATTTATTAATTAAAAGATAAATAAGTGAAGTTAATTTGATTAAAAAAAAACATTAAACGTAAAGCTAAAACGCACGTTAGTTATATAGAAAGCAACATTTATATTTTACACAAATCTTTTTTAGCTTATGTAATCATTTTTAAAACGAGTTAGACACAAAATCTGCTATGTGGTTTTTCCTTGACGGACGTAACAGGATATTAACAACTTTAGCTATTTGGGTTTCTTTAATCAAAAAGAATTTCCCTTTCCCAATAGAATAAATGTATTTTGCAATGATCTGTACTTTTTCATTCGTGGTTCTGTTTAGTATAAAGTAATCATTCTCAAATATAGAATAAGGATGCATTTTAGTAATATTAGATAATATAATTAATGTACGTAATAAAACATTTTCTTTTCCCTTCCCAACCACAGATGAATCGAGGAAGAGCGGCCATGCTTTGTATGGTTTTGGCACTCGTTGCCCTGCCAACCGTTCCAGGGTTGATGACACCGATCCCAACACCCAAGGCATTACAAGAGTGTTTCATGTACAAGTCCATTAATGTCAGTATGTCAGATACACCAGGCCAGTTCATCCAAAACTACTGCTTTACCAAACTAGCCTTAAATATGGATGAACCTAGGTTCACACATAACATCACAAAAGATGGCGTTAGGTACCTGGAATCCCTTTTCAGACAACTCGATGGAGAAATTCACGAGATTAAAAAGAACCATGAGAAACCGAGGAGCAAAAGACAGGTTATCCAAACATGGAGAATTCGGCAGGAAGTCAGGACATTATCAAGAGCGCAGTTACTGAGACTCACCAGCTGTTTTACCAGATTAAAGAATGATTATGTAAGTTTTTTTAAAAAAGGAAATATTCTTACATTCAAAATGTAAAGAGACACATACTGATCCAATAAGACCTGGCTGAATAAGATAATTTAGAATACCTTGTATGTTTTTAAAAAAGAACACGTTGAACCAGACTTTGAAGCTGGACAATGAGAGGTGAAAAGTGATTTATTTAAAAAGCAGTTTATTTTATTTCAGTCAAATGAAGATAAACTAGTTTAATGTTTTAACCCTTCCAACCATTGTTCAAAGCGAGTAGGGTTCAAAACTTAGTAATTAGTAAACAAGAGCAGGATGAGAATTGGTTCTAAATGTATTTTCTAGATAACCATTAACTTCCTTTTTTACTTTGTTTTGATATTGAAAGATTTTTAACGACTATTTTTCCATCATTATAAATGTATTGCACCTTTAATTAAATTTTTAAAAGTCCGTCTGCATTCAGCAAAAAATTGCATTTGTGTCAGCTATACTTCACAAATTACCCACATTAGAATATGTTCATGAAAAGAAACATGGGTCGCATTTCAATTTCTTAATTTCCAGGTAACATCATGTTTTTGAAGCTTAAATTTGTTTTTAATTGTCATTCTTTAATCAAGTTTTAATTGTCAAGATCACTTTGACAGAAAGTGCCTAGAATACATCGTATTTATAGCTGATCGCATAAAAATCATTAACGCCTGAATTATTGTCAAATGAGAAACTTAATGTTTGTCTTAAAAAATCATTTAGCTGTCATTCTCAATTTCAACTTCACCCTACCACAGGTGTTGACAGATATACGTAGTCGTTCGTCAGACGACCTTTGATAACTGCAAATCATTTCTTGTGGAGAACCCATTTTGACAATTTATTAATCATTCATAAAAACGACATTGACACGGAACTTGTGTAGAACATCACCTATCACATATGAGTAATTCAGCAGCAAAAAAATCCCCTTTCTTTCTCTCTATTAATTATTTTTTCTGTTTTCAGTCCATTGATTCAAGTATGAGTACCTACGATTTGATTGGTTCTTTGCACACTGGAAGAGCAGCTGAAAACATGCACGGTGGTCCTGGTTTCTTTCCAAGACATGCTCTTATGATGTTAATGTAAATATACTTTCTTTTCTAATCCTAAAAAGAATCCTAATACTGAGTACTTCTCTCCCCATAAAGTACATTTTTAAGGAATAATTAGGACTTTTTTTTCAGTATGGAAACAGCCTGTCGTACCCCTTTGGCTTACTGGGATATGACAATGGATGCCGATATGAACGATCCCACAAACTCAATCATTTGGTCTCCTCTGTTCTTTGGGAGCGGCAATGGTGCCGTCAGAGACGGTCCATTTGGTCAATGGAGAACAATTATCGGGACGCCCATCATCCGAAATATCGGATCAGGTACGTACTGGAAGTTATCAGTTTACCTTTAATAGAAGAAACGTCTAAATGTGTTGACATTTTGAAGAATAAATATTGTGCTGATTCCTAATTTTTTTGTTCGGTGAACGTTTATTTGCTAGTATTTCTCCATTAATACCTCAGTATGTTGGGTTTCATTACAGTTCTGCATATTTTGAATTTAATCGTTTCATTTTAGCTGGTGAATCTTTGGCCAGAAAACAGGGAATCCGTGCAATGTTGAGCAGAAGGAGACTAGCTGAAATTTCAGAGCCAAGCAGAGGACTATCTGTCTTTTCTGTCGAGGTTCATCACAATGGTGTACACAACTGGGTAGATGGACATATGGCTCGCCTCAATACTGCTTGGTTTGATCCTCTCTTCTACTTCATCCATTCATTTTTTACTCTTATATGGATAGCCTTTAAAGGTCTTCAAAGAACAAGGGGGGTAGATCCACAGAGGGATTACCCCATGGGTCATGATGTGCCAAATGGTCACGAATTCTTCCAAAGAGCAGATTTCAGACCTTTCCTCCGCCCAATTTCAAACTTAGAAGCTTTGTCAGACACCTACGATAGAATGGTCACCTATAGACCGATGCCTAGATGTCCCAATTGCGATGGAAGTCCTTATCTGATTTGCAGGAATCAAGTGTGTGTTTCCAGATCCATCGCACCAAGGACAAGATCGAACTTCTTTTGGATGTCCAGGAAGAAGCGAAGTGTTGATCAACAACAAGGCACAGTTTATGGCCCAAAACTTCCTCCAACAGCTTCGAGTCCATCGGAGCCTACAACTCGTCCACAATCATTGACCGATGAAAATGTCGATAATAAAACATTGAACGTTCTTCAGTCTAGTGAAACAGCCCTCTCCACGCTGGACCAGGCTTATCAAAATACATTTATCATAGATGGACGAGTGGATATGACCAACTGGGCATGGTTAAATATCAAAGTTCTTTTTGAACGACCAAAGGGATTCAACTTCCATGCCACTTTTCCTGGGCAAAACGGTACCAAGGATATGTATGATATAGAAAACTTCCGACAAATTGCCGATGAAATCGGGATCCATAATCAAGTTGAATACAAGAAAACATGTAGTTCCTCTGGCTCAGGTGCTGCCAAGGTTTATGTTCAGTCAGACGGTTTAAACTATGCTGGGAGATACAAGGATTACGCTATCATTGATGAGAGACAACCCATTTACTCATCCGTCAGTTACATCGCCATTAAAAAACCAACTGAGGAAAAACCAACAAAAGTTATTTTGACAGCCTTCGACACTTGTGGGCGATCTTGCCACGTTGCTTGTCCTGTCCCGGGTACTAATGGAAAGGACTACGAGCCGTGCTCAGGAACCTTCGAGGTAACCACGGAGTTTCCATTTATGTTCAGCTCCACGTACGCCAGCGCCGTTGCCGCAGCATTTAGCGTCCACATAGATAAAGGCCCACTGTTCGGGGTTGGTAATATCCCTATAACATTTGTCTGTGATCATCAAAATAAGTGGCCATGGGAGTAAATGATACTAAACCCTTATATCATAAAGTAAATTATTTGGAATTGGTACTTTTTGTTATTTTTTTTCTTGCAAAACTTCTTTTACTTTAAAGAACAGTACGACTATAATCCTATGAAGAAATTGTCATCAATATTTCTTTCGGCAAATTCAGGAGTGGGGGGGGGGGCGCAATTTAAACTGTATTTCAAAATAAATGTGTAAAGCCGTGAGAAAACATACATTTGGTGTTTAATTCGGGGTGTTTAACATGAACAAAATTGTATTTGAACGAATATTTAATGCATGCACTGTTAACCAGTTTGAGTCAGATTGAATGTGATCCTTCCCGAAGTTCATGTCCTTTCTTTATACATATGTTTTATTTATTTCTGTTAATTTTTTTGTTTTCGTTTTTTGTGTACTATGATCTCACTGTTTTTTCATAATAAAAGTCTTTTTAATTAAAACATGTTAGTTGAGAGACAAAATATTACAAGAGATTCTTATCTAAGGAAACCAAACTATACGAACTATTCTGCATTTTACACATGCAGAATGTAGAATGAATGTTTATTTCCCGGCCACATGAGGTCGAAGACAAAAGTGATTAAAGCGAACCCGCTTATACTGAATATACGCTTATAGAAAAGTTAATTTTCCCCCATAGGTTTCATAAGAATTGCGAACTGAACGAATATAGCGAATTAAGTTTATATAGCGTATCAGAATTGTTGGTCCCTAAGCAGTTCGTTATAAGCGTGTTTAACTGTACCTGGAATTTATGAACAAATCAGGTTATCCTTAAATAATAGCGAATTTTATAATAATTATGCACAATCAATCAATCATGGTGGAGAAAATATACAATAGAGTTGAGTCTATCAACAATAGAAAGCCAATTCTGAAAATTACATTAATGTAGCGGGAAAAAAAACAAAAAAACAAAGAAAAATTGATTCATGGCATTTGCCTTTAATCGAAAAAAAAAAAATCACACTTTTGAAGTGCATTCTTTTCTTTTCACATTTTTTTTTTTTACATTAATTTGTTTTTATGACAAAAGTTTCGAGCCAAGATTAAAAATTAAAGTATTTAACATACTTAAATTAATATCTTCTCGTACACATTTAGTGGATTTCCAGGTATCATAAGCGTTAATCAACAAAGGTAATTATTTATAGAAAATGTCGGGGATACACCGAAATATTTAAGAAATAACGACTTGATTTATAGGCATGTTTGTTCCAATTTATGGTTTATGGCATGTAATAAGTAAATATCAATAATTTGCTCAATTTTTTAAAGAATATTTCTTTCGACGGTTTTGATATGAATATTTAAAAAATCTTCCGGAGGACTGATGTGTAGCATAATAAATATCTTAACAATCTGAAAATGCTTCATTTCAATCTTATCTAATGTATTAAGTTAAGCAAGTTAATATTCTGCATACAGAGTCCGAGAGTCAATTCTTCCCTGATTTGTAAACATGAAGCGAGAGTTCCTCAATGATTTGATGACTGTATGATTATTTCAGTGGCTTTTTCTCTGAACTGAGTGCATTATGATATGTGTCGAAAATTAATTATACTAAAGGTCACACATGACAAAATAAAACTTATGAGAGGTAATGGTTCTGTGGTCACAATGCGAGCTGTTTTTTCCGACTATTGTGGAACAGTGTCCTTTCTTTTTGGACAACGGCCCGTCATTTTAAATGTTAAGATATGTTGAAGGGAAATCGCTAAACGGAAGTGTTATTATTTTCATTAAAAAAATCAACAGTACACTTTAAAGTACACTTTAAAAAAATCAGTACACTTTGTAGGCGATTTCAAATAGAAAGTCAAGCACTCACTGTATTCCTGATCTCACCGCATTGTCAGGCATCAGGTATGCACGTGTGACATCTAGGAACCTTCCACATTGTAATAAGGCAACTTACTACTGGGAGAGCAGAGAGGGAAAAATTTTAAAAATATATACAACATTATTATATATAATCAGATATCTATTCAATTTTATCATCAGATGAAAATTTACGCAATTCTAATTTAATGCAACGCGCTTAGTTTTGAGGCAAAACTCAAGGGAAGCGATTTTGGTTTTTTTTTTTTAATTTAAACAGCAACACGTGTACATCCCTCTTATTCTCTGTAAGTATGGAATGGTGATGAAGCTGTCTTAAGCCTAAAGCATTGTACGACTTATCTTAGTCATTTAATTGCTTCAAAGAGCCGTCTTAACTTGCATCTTAAAAATTGTCGTAACTTTAAACACGATGACGTTTTCCAACCTCAACAGGATAAAAGACGATTATAAACATCGCAAACGTATTTTTTCAGGATATAGGACTAATTATTAATAACTTAATAACCAAAGAAAAATTAGATTTTAATAATATACATGTTTATGATTGTTTTGAGCTTCCTGAGTTAGAGATGGTTCCGGGGACTTGGTTTAATGTACGCCTATTAAGTAATTTGCACATGACACCAAATAATTTTTAGTGCGACCCTTTTCAAACCAAAGGTACACTGTATGTTCCACCATTTACAATTTATTATATTTTTTGCTATCATCTGGCAAAACGTGTTTACTGCATTTCTCGTAGGCAACAGAAACGAACCAACGGCATGTTGGTTCAAACTTCTTTGGAAGTATTGCTGTTCGCATATCAAGTACATGACTCCTCGTTCAGATCTTTGACCAAATTGTGAGGAGCAAAGCAAACATCTCTTCAGCAGGCAGCTGGATTACAGGAGAAACAGGATCATGATTCATTTACAAGCTTTTACGAAACATTAGGTATAACTTCACTCGTTCGATATCCCCTGTTTATGCTTCGTAAAATTCCTAGAAAAAATCCCTTCGCATTTTTCTTTACTCATAACCATCATGACATGGCCTTAATCTTAAAGATAAGACCCTGATTAAATAAATCAGATTATCTTGGGTAACCATAAGGGTATAACGGTACTCAAATTTTCAACAAAAAAACAGGGCAAAGAATCCAGACCCTCTTTAAACACCTGGGATCAGTTACCTAGGACGAGAACGCGTCCCCTGTCGACCCGTCAGGAGTCCTACATGTACAGTAAGTATTGAACGGATAAACGGAGTAATCCGTAGTCAAAATGGTAAAACAGCAATAACCTTAAATGTTGTGGGGAAAACCTCAGTCCCAAAAAACCCCATTGAAGCGTAATTTGTACTTGCAAACAAGGTCATTACCAAAATAAAAAAAAAATAAATTAAAAAAATGCTGATTTTTAAAGGAGATACGATAAATCAAGGCTAATTTATACATTTCCTCAGCTTTTAATCATATATATTTACTTTGAATGATTTAATTTCTTCGGTAATTTCTCTGCAACTATTAATTTTGGAAAATCCAAATTGCCTTCACTTTTTCTGATATACTGTATTTTCCAGAGTAAAAGTCTACTGCAAGTCACAGAAAAACAAACAAACAAACAAAATCCAGTAGATTTAAAAAAAAATCATTTTTAAACCCAGTTTAATAGTTCCTCATTTTGTAGCTGCATAATTTGATGATAGTTCAAGACTTTAATTGTTATTTCGTGTTGAGTTCAAATAAATTTTGCTGCATCAATTTTTATCTAGACATTATGCTTTCATGTAGGATGAGTTGAAAGTTTTTAGTTCACAAATCGAGATACATGTCTTTTCTGAAGGATTCTTCATGTGTCAGAAAGTTTGATTTTTCAAAAAAAAAAAAAAGATTAATATATGGAAAACTTATCAACATTTTATGTTCCTGAATGAGCTAAATCATTTATAAACAGTTTATCTGTCTGTATCGTCACTATGATAAGTTGTGGTGTCTTTTAATTATCTCTCGTCTTTAACTGTCCCTTTCATGAACCACACTGAAACATGATCGATTGATAGCACTACGAGACACTTGACGTGCACAGGTTAGCAATGAGAATGCAATATTATTTCAATTAGATTACTTTGTGCTTTATTCATTTTGTGGCATAATTATTGTTCTTTATTTCTATAGCTAGTTCACATTTCCTAAATTTTAATCAAATTCACTTCCTATTAATAATTAATCTAAATGTTTGTCAGATAGATAAATATTTTAAGTTCCTTTTCGATTATTGTGTGCAATTTTGAATACGTGCGGTTACACATCGGAGGGATCAAAATCAGATGTTGTAGGTTTTTTGAAACATATGCATTTCCTTCATATTTTTGAACCCCTTAACTTCCAAGTAAACAGTTGTTTCCTAGAAAACCCAACTTAAAACATATTTTAGATATGTCTTGCTCATTTATTTTCAGTTAAACAGAAAAATCATAAAATTGGTCCCCTGCGATGGTTGTATGATGTTATTTATTCAGGTATATACGTTAACATTTGATATATTGTAAAATCTAGAGAATACCGGAAAAATTATTGAAATAATAAACAAGATATGAGTGGGGATCAAGTTTTCTCTGATGCAGTTAAATTTTTTGAGTAAAAGTAATAATATACTTAATAGATTGAATTAGTCATATGGTTTTGAGGAAAACCTATTTCAGTCTACACCTGACAAATTCAAAGAAGCCGTTATTTGTCAGTAAGAAGAGTGGTTTTAAATATTCTGACGAATGAGGCTAAATAATGAAGGGCTTAATTGATAATGGGGTGTAAAGGTTAAACATTTACAAGCAGTCACAAAACGAGCGGGAAGGGCATATTTTCCTGTTATAATTTAGTTATAATGAACCGTAATTAGACACACGAGTGATTGGCACATCATGTTTAATTTTGATAGCTTTAAAGTGCTCCAACATAATTATAAATATATATGATCAGGACCCGATGGAAATTTCTATGAAATATAACTTCCTGATGATTCGGGGGGGGGGGGGGGGGGTAACATTTCGATAGTGTCATTACCGTATTAGCAGAAACTTTTGCGAAGATTTAATGCAGGCAAGTAGCATCGTTTTTGAAAGTGGGGGGTGGGCCAGCCCAAATTTTTTTTTTTGGCTAACCTGGAAAAGGTTGACAAGCAAAACAAAAAAAAAACATTGCCCAAAATCGAAA